AAGAAGAAGAAGAAGAAGAAGAAGAAGAAGAAGAAGAAGAAGAAGAAATAGTAGTACTAATAGTAATAATCTCACATTGTATAGATCTATCCCTATCACCAACACAGAGAAAGGAGGAAAACCACCATAAAACAACGTCCCCAATTTCCACCAGCCAGAAAACTTTGGAAGGTGATGGTATTGGAGGCCACCAAAAGATGCAGGACACTCTACAGACTCTTACGATCAAAAGATTAAATAAATCATGATTCACTCAAAGAATTAAGAAAATAAGCCGGTGCTTAAACAGGAGAGGAGTTATGGATTCTTCTGACCAATTTCAAGGCTAGAAGAGAGTATCTTAGTAGAGTTCAACTCTCATACTTCACCACCTGCAATACAGAATTATATCCAAAGAGATGATTTTGGAGTCCTTGAATGGAGGGAGGGAAAATTAAGCCATTACCTGTCTGGGCTTCTGCTTGGGCTCTGCAGTATATTTAGCTGGGAAGGCTTTGTATTAACTCGGGAGGAGGAAGTGTGGGAGCTATCTCAACGGAGACAGGTACAACGGGTTGCAAGGTGGGAGAAAAAGTACAGTACGACCTCCTGTAGTGTTTATAGATGGACCTTTGGACCTTCTTCATCTTCCTCCAGAAAGGGTCACATCTGTTTTCTGCTGTTTTTACCGCAAACATTTGCACACATGTTAGAACTTACTCTGGGACAAAGCGTTTGAACCCCACCACAGATGTAGATGTTGAGACTCCAGAAAGAGTGCAGAAAAGAGCAACAAAGATGATTAGGGGACTGGAGGCTAACATGGATTAAGAACAGTTGCAGGAATTGAGTGTGTTTAGATCAAGGGTCTTAGTTCAACTTGACAGCTTGAAGACTTGTGGACTTCAACTCCCAGCATTCCTGAGCTAACATGGCTGGAGGAGGAATTCTGGGAGTTGTAGTCCACAAGTCTTCAAGCTATCAAGTTTGAAGACCCCTGATCTACAGTATCTACCTCCATCTCTATCTGTCTGTCTGTCTGTCTGTCTGTCTATCTATCATCTCCATATCTATCTATCTATCTATCTATCTATCTATCTATCTATCTATCTATCTATCTGTCTATCATCTATCTATCTAATCTGTCTATCTCTATCTATTCTCTCTCTCTCTCTCTCTCTTCAAAGTGTCTTCAAACTTGGCAAGTTTAAGACCTGTGGACTTCAACTCCCAGCACTCCTGAGGTAACATGACTGGAGAGGACTTCTGGGAGTTGAAGTCCACAAGTCTTCAAGCTATCAAGTTTGAAGACCCCTGATCTACAGTATCTATCTCCATCCCTATCTATCTATCTATCTATCTATCTATCTATCTATCTATCTATCTATCTATCTACCTACCTACCTACCTACCTACCCATCCATCCATCCATCCATCCATCCATCCATCCATCCATCCATCCATCCATCCATCCATCCATCCATCTATATAATCTCTCTCTCTCTTTCTTCAAAGTGTCTACAAACTTAACAGCTTTAAGACTTGTGG